CTTCACTGTTTTTCATCGTGAATGTACTGTGTAGTCCATCTTCACCATCACGTATAAAGATTTTCCTTAGATGCTCCAGGTTTAACCCTGAAGACGCGATATTTTCAGCTGTAGGAAGTTTACAAACACTACTTGCAATAAGACATGACAATGACGGTAAATTCTTTGCCTTTTCCTTCGATGACAGACATTGGTGATACACTGCATTTAGAGAAAAAGTGAACTTTATCATATCATTTACTAAGGCACAACAATGTTGGAACAATTTCACTAAGGCGCGCACATCTTCAAGAGCGTCATGGGCATTATACTGTATACCGAGAATGTCCTGTACAAGATCTCCCTGCTTGTAACTACTTCTGTCAGAATAGGTCTTACGAAACAATGGTAATGTATCCAAACAACCTACAACACTTGCTAAAAATTCTTCCAACTTATTCACATTAGAAACTGCAGCAACAAGAACTGAAAAATCAAACCTCCGCCCGTTGTGTGCCACCAACACTACTCTGTTATACTTTTTTAGCCACTTTATGAAATTTTCAACAGCACATTGAATGTTTACAGTTTCTACTATAGTTCCGGAAACATACATAACATTATTATCTGCCATTCTAATACCAGTGGTCTGCTGTGCTCCTTCTGATATAGGTAGCTTCGGTGTAACATAAGTTGAAAACTCACTACCACTATTTACTTCTCTGGCAGCAATCTGGGTCAAATGAGGCATTTTCCCACTTCGTACTGAAATAAACAAAAAAGCAATTTATATAAAACACATCAGATATGAGCCGCATCATGAGAAAATGGATATAAAAGCGAGCCCGACCAGTATGGATCCCATCATTCTAAAGTTACTTTCATATGTAAAACATTCATGATGTTATTGAAAAGCAACACATTATTTTTTTTGCCTGCAGCTTCCATTGACTCAGACGCCTTTAGATTACTGATAGTGGGTATATTCAAAGCTGCCAGCATGTTGTTGACTTTATTCGGGCCTCCCAATGTGTCGATCATGGCTGAAAATACACAGAAACATCTAGTTTCTATTGAGACAATATTTTCATTTCAACCCAATTTAGTTTCTAGGCCAATGAATTTCATTCTTAGCAATTATATATGTATATGCTTTTGGATGAATTAAAAGGCATAAAATACATGAACACTTACATAAAGCATTACATTTTGTAGCAGTATGCCTATGAAATTTCACTGCGGGCTTCTGCGCAACATTTCACTAATACATGTAATTATGCATAAACAAATAAATTATAAATGCATAAACAAGGGGCAAACATTCAATAAAAATTTGATGTTTTACAAAAAAAATCAATGGAAACAAACTAGACATATGACTATCAATTGCACATAATGCTCTTGACGAGTGTGCTGCAGTATAAATAGATAAATTGGCATAGAAAATTTCCCAAAACTGTGATATAAAATGACCTTTTTTACTGGGTACGAAATTGCTTGGGTACGAAACATATGTTTACAAAAGATTGTGTGAAATCGTACACACTTTCTTAACAGACCACTGAATGAATGATGGAGATCAAGTGTTAATACAATAATATATCAACATAAGGAATCAAATTTTAAGACCGTTACCTGTTCCAAGCTTCGTATTCACGGCAAAAGTTGAGGCACCCTGTTTACTCCCTTTCACTTATTTTCCATACGCTATACAGTTCACGTGACCACAATCTGAGTTCAAACATCTCACTTTTAGATATCCTCCTAATCCCTTCTTTAATTCCCCAATGACGTTCTCTATAGTTAAAGGAATAGGGCCAAGTCGACACGATTTGCAAAACTGCAGTCCCTCCAACAACACGGCAAATTCAACAACTCGCCTGCCTTCCTTCCAACTCCCATCCACAGTCTTGCAACTCTTAACTTCAACATAATCAGTTGCTACATAGCTGTGTTCTTCTTTCAGCTCATATGCTTTCTGCTTAGCCGGTTTTTTTAAGGATGCAAATCTTCCTCTACGATTGCGCGTTTGTTCGGCCATCTTTGTATCAGCTCAGATTCCGATCACGTGGTCATTTATCATGGTTACATGGTCGGAAACGTGACATTCCGGAATCTACCGAAATAACACGGAAAATACCGATTTTTCTGGGTCCGTAATCCTTAAATTTAAAAGGGCCATGTTTTTCATCTCCGAAGTCCATGTTAGAATTATCAGCAGTGGCCAGTGCCCATTACTGCTCTCAAATTAGTGTATGAATTTCAATCATATCCCCATAATATTTAATGGATATACTTGCAAATTAACCGATTTCCAGGGGAGTACAATTGCTTTCCTTTTTCGTTTCGAGAAAAAAAAGAATGTGAAATAAGTCACAGCAGAAGGAAAAATAATATGTCAGTATTGATGATAAGAAATGAAAAATAAAAAAAAATGTATTTAAAAACTTGACATCTGAAAAAAGACAGTGTGTCCCATTTAGATTGACTGTCCGCTGCTTTTCTACATGACATACCTTTTACAAATAAACTTAGTTCTTCAAATATAGTGATGATTTTTATAGTGTTTTGTTTCGTTGAAAATCAAAACCTTTCAAATTTGTGACATATTAAACATCAATACATCATATTTAACAACGCAGATGTCTTTTGAATGAATGAAAAAAAATCTTAGAATGAGTAAAGCATATATATAACACATATAGAATAATCGATATATGACTGCGTACTGTATTTGATATATTGTATCTTGTGAATATTGAATTACCTTTTATTGAGTTTGTAATTCAAAAGAGCACTTTCTTCAAGTTGATATTTTAAAATAATCTTCTACTGTTTTATTGTATTATCAACTTGTTGTTTAACAGACATCACAGACCTTAAATGGTAAGAAAAGAATTCAGATAACAATAGTCAATAGATTCCCTTTCAGAAAGAAAAGGTGACCTAAATATTGTTAAACCTGTAAAAATATGAATCGTAAATTAACAAGTTAAAATCATTTATACTAACATGCTCGCATTAGCTGTATCACTAATAAGCTTATATAAAATCTATTTTCTGTCATTTTGTTGTCAAATTTCGCACAGATACTTAAGATATTTAAGAACAAGGAAGAATAGTTTTATTATTACCACCATCAAACGATGTTTAGTCACACAGGAAGTTTATCTGTTTAACATAAAACGAGAAAAAAGTATGAATAACCATATGAAAAATGGACAGATATAATGCTTTTTTAAATAAACAATATTACTATTGTTTATCAACATCATCATTTTCATCATCATGGTCTTCGTAGCCATCGTCGTTGTCATCGGCCTAGTCGTCGTCATTGTCAATTTCATCATCATCATCATCATTATCATCATCATCATCACCATCATCATCATCATCATCATCATCATCATCATCATCATCATCATCATCATCATTATCATCACCATTTTATTATTGGTATTCGTTTAAGACGGAATGATCATTAAGATGTCAAAGGGCAATCAAAATGAACGACAATTCGTTAAACAATTAGTATTTATTGCCGTGCGGTATCATTCCTGGCCGTTGTAATTTTTATATAATTTCTTTCCGAAAGTTATCAAGATGCATTGATCTTCAGGCAATTTATAACAAAGTGAGTTTGTTCATAACGGAGGGTCTGCTTTACTATAAGATATGTTGACAGTATTTAGCTTCTTTCATATTAGAGTTTATACCGGTACTAGAAAAACCTGTAAGAACATCCTCGCCTTTAATCTATTAATACGGATTGAAAATAGCTCTACCAAGTAGTTTTTGTTTGTTTGTTTGTTTGTTTATTTCATTTTACGCCTTGTTCCAACAGTATTTCAGTCAATCGTTCCTGGAGAGTTAATCCAGTACTAGACTACCTTCCTCCTTGCTAAACTACCAAAGCATGTCCCGGGGATCGAACCCACGCCAGAGAGGTAACTGGATTAGAAGTCATCGACTCTAACCCCTCCACCACGGAGGCGGTACTACCTGTCCTTATTCTGATTGTCACTGAGAATTCATCTTTTTTAATTATTTATTATTATTAATATTGTTGTTGTTGTTGTTGTTTTAACATTAACGGAAGGCGCTTTTCTCATTTGATTCCTCTTCAACAAATGGTAAGTCTCTTTTACAATTATATGTGCTATTGCCTGAGTTGAAGGTTAAATATTGTGTTTTGCTTTAAATAATGTTTGACATAAATTCCGACAATTTCAGGCTCAATCTCTGACGAAGGGACAGAAAGTAACCCGTTGAAACGCTTTTGGAATTATTCATGAAACTGTGACTTTTAAGATTACAACAACAAAATTTACAACAACATTTTTAAGTATACATGTACTAGCACTTGTCTTGGTAAAGGCCGCTTTTTGGAACTTATTTGACATAAGCGATCGAAGTATTAATTTTGTTTTATTCGCAAATATTAAAGCAATCATCTTGATCTCGATCGTAAATGAAAAGCAACCAGGCACTGCTAATATAAGGTACATGTAGATATAGATATATCTTACAGATAAACAGTGATCTGCCTTCAATTTTGTCTGACTTGCTTTACAATAGATCATGTCGGACGTTTTTACCTGCTTGAAAAAAGTGCCTTGTTTAAACTAAGCGGAATGCAAAAGGCTTCTATCTATATTCAACATATAAAATAAAAATCTAATCATTTTGGGTAATATTTGATTAATAAATAAAAGACATTACTTTAAATTAAGAACAACAAGATTCAATTAAATATATAACTCTTAGATGAGTATATGATATAAGATAAGACACAATTTTGGACAAAGTCCGGGTATTTTAAATTTAGCTCTACTTCAATAACATCTAATCATAAATATAATTACATATTTTTGATTATTAATATCCATGCCGGCGAAACAACACTGTTTGGACTTTTTAATCATAAATAACAGACTGAATGAGTAGTAATTCTTTAAATGATATATGTATTGTTTAGTTTTATGTCAACACTCAATAAATTAAATTTATTTTCAGACTCAGCATGATTTTTTATTCACTGATATCAACAGCTGTTTTTCACTTTGCGCATGGTAAGTTGTCAAGTCATGATCTTCCAATTAGTAAGTGGCTAGTACTTGGTTGCTGTCGCCATAAATGCCACCAATATCCTAGTAGAAACGTCTTTAGAAATACATTGGTTTGAGTTTCGTATGATTTATCGGGAATTGCGGCCCTAGATAAAGATTTATACGTGATAAATTCTTTGACTGCTATTGTTTTTTTTTTCCAAATACCTTTGCTGTCTTTTTGTCTTCAGATCTACCACCTTCCTGATATAATATAAGGTTGTTCTGTTCGTCACCTGCTTCTTACAAAGTATTTCTCTAGTTAAAAAGTATTCAATGTTTCCTGGTTAATTTCGCATGATTTTGCCTGCAAGTGCTAATGTATCAGAAAGTTTGCGTAACTTTGCACTTGCGCTCATTTACTCACTCATAATGGAAAAATAATGTCGAATAACAGGGTGGCTGAAATTGTAAAATGACGTAGATTTTGCAAAACTGGCCTTAACAACCCTGACGATTTCCTTAATGTCTCATTATACATTTCGAAGAAAATACTATGCTATATAGAGTCATTAACATCAGGTATATTGAAATACTATTGGCTCAAATATATGTATTTATTTCAGGTATAACCTTAAGTTGTGTTCCTGATGTACCTAGATATCTATCCAATATGACATGCACTTGTAGAAACCCAACTAAAAATGGTGTTGAATGGCGACTTAACTCGCAAATTGTTAATACTTGTTCAGGAACTAAAGACAAGTGTTTTCCGCCTTCCTTACAGTACACATCATCTGTGTCTAGTGATGAATTTTACATCGGGGTCAGCCCTTACTCATACAAAAATTGTGCAACATATAGTTGCAGAGACAAAAGCACAGGCGAAGAAGTTTCTGCCACAACCTCTATAGCTGGTATTATGAATTTTCTTACAGCCATACCAGAAGAGTAATGTTCCATATCATTTTCGAGAAATAAACAAAAGTATAATACATGCATATATTCGTTTTGCTTATGAAATTAGTTATATTATTTGATTTTTATTTTGCAAAATCCTTTCGACTTTTGTTTTTCAGATACAGTTTTCTTTTACTTTTAAGAAACTACTCCTGTATCAGTTACCTGTTTAAACATATAATTCTAAAATAAATCAGCTTCGTAAGACAGATTTATCTTTTTTGTCTAAAATAGATTGTTTCACTATTCTTGTTTCTTTTACCGAGTTTGTTTATGTCAAAGATGTTTTGTTCTTTACATTGCAGACTTTGGCCAAAGCAGTATTACAGCACAGGAACCTGGAGCTAATACAAATGGTCAAATTTTGGTCAATACAGGATGTGTTTTCCCAACATCTGACATAACTGTGACATGGTACAAAATTGAGGTAGGTTGTTTGTTGTGTTTCATCTATTTGCAAACACTTTACAAGCAATCACGACTGTTTTAGTCTCCTACCGGTTTAACCGGAGGGGACTTTAGATTTACCCTTCGTCCTGCTGTCCGTCTGTCTGTCTGTCTGTCTGTCAGTCTGTCAGTCCGTCCGTCCACAAAACTGGATCCCGCGATAACGCAAAAAGTACTGAAAATATTTTTTATGAAACTTGATATATGAATAAATGGCAGTATGGAGATTATGCACGTCTTTTTCTTTTCTTCCTATGTTGGAAATTCTGGTTGCTATGGCAACAAATAAACTGAAAATATGGCAACTTTTACATATAAAATAGATCCAGTGATAAGTCAAAATGTACTGAAAATGTTTTTATGAAACTTGAAATATGGGCAGAAGACAGTCTGGAAATTATGCACATTTTTCTTTTTTCTTCCTATGTTGAAAATTCTGGTTGCTATGGCAACAAATAGACTGAATTTCAAGATTTCTGATTTGAATTTTTACGCTTTTTCACTTCAAGTTCTTTATTTTTTAAGGTGTTTTCTTCAAACTTTAAATATAAGTCTCTGGTCATCAACCACATCATATGTGACAAGGTTTACAGGTCTAGCACAAAAATTACCTCCCTTGAATTTAGAATTTTTATGACAAAAATGTTTAAATAACTTCGTTATTTCTTAATGTATCTACTTCAAACTTCATATGTATGTTTCTTATTATCACTCAACAATTGTGAGAAGGTTAAATACTTTAGCAAGACTATTTCTAGAATAATGTGCCCTTGAACTTAGATTTTTTTCGAGAAATTGGTATTTTTACTCCAACTTCTTAATTGCTTATAGGAATTACTTTAAAATCCACATCATAATCATATGACAAGGTTTATAAATCTAGATCCATATTTCAAGAATCATCTCCTCCTTAAACTTTGAATTTTTCTTATTCATTCTTTAACTTTCTTATTTCGTCATGGATTTTCTTCAAATTCAAAATAAACATTCATTATCAACACCTACATTATATTTTTGTTTTTAATTTTCATCTTTGTTACTTACTATACATTATAGTTAATGCTATATTTGAAAATTGTTGTTTTTTTTACTTATCCTCTTTGTGACTAGAAATGGTATCTTTAAACATAAAGAAAAGTTATCTCCTCTAAGAATTTTGTATTAAAATATGTTATATTTTGGTAACAAGGATGTTTAGAAAAATAACAAGAGTCTCTTCAGTCTGTCTGTCTGTCTGTCTGCTCATAAAAGCTGTTTCCTGAGATCACTTTTAAAGATTTTTTCCAATAGATTTACTTTAAATAGAGAAAAAGTGAAACATAACTTATACTTATTCATCCTGAGAAAATTGGACCTTTTGATTATCTGTTATATAATTTCCTTACTAGGAAGGGAAACATAACACATTACTATGATATAGACAAACTTAGAACTCAAAAGATGTATTTATATATGTCATTTATTTAGCGGTAAAATTGAATGGCAATGACCCATCAGAATGTTGCTGGGGTTCTAACCGGTAGGGGACTTATGGATTGCTTGCAATACTATGATAATTGCCTGTTTTATTGGTAGTGTCTTTAAGATGTTAAAATCTGGAAACAAAGTGATCCCTCGGAAGCATAAATCACAACAAAATTACAAGAGAATTGCAGACTCGGTTTGAGTTAGTACTAGACTAATGTTTATCACTGCATTGAACCATTAATCATAGCAATATTGATTGGATTATGAAAGTAGAAACAAAATGAAGTCGCTAGCGATTACCAATCGTTGTCTTGTACGGATATTATCATTTTTCGAACGTTGAATGTTGACACTCGACGATATTTGCAATTCCAATTTTCGAAAACATGACCCACTCGGTTGAATTGAGGGCGGCGTTGGAGGCGGCGTCAACATTAATTATTCCGGACCAAACACGTCAATACTAACAACCTTATAAGTCTTAAACATTATATATTGACGCACCTTTTTGCATTTTACCGGTCTTGTTTATTGTTGATTTCTTACAAATTAAAAAAAAGCAATCAACTTCAAAATTGGTAATTTTTGGATAATCGAAATGTAAATAATAATCTGGATATAAATAATAATCTCGAAAATTGTGATCTCTCGGGATCAATAATTACGACAAAATAATACAGCCAGCTTGAGCGGTACTCAAATGTCAACACTTAAACGTGCTTGAATCAATGATCCCGAAAGACCAGAAAAAATAACAACACTGAACACATAGTGTGAAGAAACCACAAGAAAAAACATATAACTATTTCAAAGCAGGACGGATATTTAAGAAATTTAACAGTACATGCTACAAAAAATCGGAAGCCGGTATTGTAGTTTCGATTGATATAATATATTGGCATGTATTGGCATATACTTGAAAATGAACAGTTACCGTTTCTTGAATACGATTACACGTGAAATTTGCTTAATTTTGTTTTGATTTATGCTTTCGAGGGTTACTCTTTCTCGAGATTTTTATGATTGGATTCTTACTTTAAACTATCCTAATTACCTATTCTTCAAACTTACCTTTTTTCATCAGAAAAAGCAACATTTCGTACGCCCTAGATTCTGAGATCTCTGTGTACCGGTAAATATAATACTGCTCTGATCCTACTCACGGACGAAACCAAACTGCATGTTTTTGCGCGTATGTGTGTTGTAGTTTGTTTACCCTCGCCACTTCTATTGCACTACACGTGTTTCTTATATATATCGTGTCGAATCGTCTCCGCAGTCAATAAAACAATGATTTCAACTGAATAATAATAATAATAATAATGATAATGATGATGATGATGATGATGATGATGATGATGATTATAATAATAATAATGATGATTATAGTAAACGTTTCTTGATACTGACTCTAACTTAACTGAAGCGTCTGTTGCCTGAAGCAGTTTTATGAACAAATTATTGTTAATAATAAATGTACATTTAATATTATAAACTTATCGAATGATCCCCTAAACTTAGACCGAATTGATAGTAAAAATGATTGAAATACATACTCTTTATATCATGATAACTTTATTTATAGATTGCAATATTTTCCTAATGCAAACGGCGAATTTCGAAGGGGAAGGTGATCAAGTTCAGTGTTGTTATACTTTTCTCGGCCTGTTGAAATTGAGTACTTTTTCATTATCTTTTATGTACAGATTCAATCAAACCGTGTCAGCAAAGTTTATGTAATTTTGATATATTAATTGCATACAATACATTATGCAAGTTTTGACACTTATAGATATCTATCTGAACCTAAAATATACAATTGAAATGAAAAAAAACTCGAATACAGAAAATAGAGTTTAAGAAAACGTGTTTCCAATTGTATAACTACAAGAGTACGTTTACTAAGAAACATGTTTAAAATGAAAAAAGTTGATTAACAAAGTAAAACGATTTTAAGTAATGCACGACGCCCCGCCCCTCTTTGAGTATTTACGAACTTCTATTGCGGACAGGTATAAAACCCGGCGCCTCTCCCATATCTCTAAATAAAACTGAAGGAAAATACGCCGCATTCTTACATATTTTTGTTGTATTTGTTACAAAAGTTTTGTCACTAGCTAAATCACCTGGAAATTGCTACTTTTGCTTATTGCTTCCGATTGATCACCTTTTCCGCGAGATTTTTCTTCTGCGTTTCCTAGTACCATACTTAAATGATCCCTTTAGGAGGCTTGAGGGATATTTGCACCTTTTCGTTATCCCTCATGTACATACGCGGTCAAACCGAGTCTGCAATGTTCACGTTATTTTATTGTGATTATGTACAGCTTCAGAGGGATAAACCCTTTTTCAGATTTTTATAATTCACATCAGCAGGTGTCAATTGCCGTGTGGCAGCTGTTAAAAGTTGTCCCTTACTGTTCTATTTTATGGTCCTTCCCGATCAATGATCCCAATACTGTTAAAAATTGACTACCGCATAAGCCGGTGCAATGGGGCATGGGAAATGTTTTATTAGCCCTCATTATACAGACCGAGTCTTCAGTTTTCATGTTATTTTGTTGTGAATAATGATTCCGATGGATCACTCTTTTACCACATTTCTTTTCTTCAAAACGGAAATCCGGGAAAGAAGTGATTGTTTTCGAAAGAATTGGACATTATATATATTAAACGTAAATTGAAGACCTATTACATGAAAGATAATGTCAACAAGCTGTATTCAATCTTCACCACAAATGTTCTTTACAACTGTTGTTATAATTATATAACGATCTGGAAAAGGAAGATGCCTCAAGAGCAATGAAAGACTGTTTTTTTCCAATAAAAATTATGTTTATATTATCAAAATTAAACCAAAATATAAGTGGAAAGATTGCTATATTTTAGTAAAGAACTATTTTGTATGACAGAATGGAACAGAAGAAGATTTTACATCCAGTAGACCAAGTCCCATACAATTATCGGATAGGTCAGATTGTACACGTACATGTAATTCAGAGACAGATAGAAAAGTAGCAAGTGGATTTACTCATACTGAATATACTGGTTCCGACTATGTAGAGGTCGTATATAAGGTTACAGTCACACACAACTTATACATAGAGGAAGTATTTACATGGACGTCATCGAAATACCGGCTTAAAGCAGGTACTACTAAAACTGTGTGTGTTCTTTTTGTTTCATGTATTCCAAGACTGCGTTTGCATATACATGTATTGACCATAATGTCTAGCATAAATATATTATGTAACATATCACGTAACCGCTTTATTCAATCATTCAAGCGTCATTATTTGTATATTTTAGTAGTCTAATGACATTTCAGCATAAATATATTAAAGGGAAAGACAAGGTTAGAATAAAAACTTGATTTCAGAAAAAGAATACTTTAAATAATAAATCTGCAAATTTTCTGCCGCAAAATAATAATATTAAACGAATGATAACAAAATTTAAATCGCTACATCACCGATTTCTACAAATTAGTAAGCGCGGCCATGTTTGTGTATTGGCCGTATAAAAACAGGTGCGCGTGATGTCATTTCCCAACATATTTAGATTTATGATAAATCTAGTTGAATCGTAGGGAAATATTAATATAATTAAGTATTGACCAGACAATTTAATTTTCACAGGAGGTAGAGAGGAGATTTTTTATTGTTCAAAATACGTAACAATATCAAAAAAAAAATGAATAACTAAAGAAACAAAAAAAAAATCAACGTCTACCTGTCGCACCACTTCAGGCCAGTGATGCCCGTTACTCCAAACAATGCTATGTTCATTAAAGTCTCATCTTAATGTAATTAAACAATATTTCACAGATTTAATAAATACACATGTTATTATTTAACAAAGTTTCACAATCAAATAATGCAATTAAATAAACAAACGCACCAACGAATAATTGGCTGTTAATTATTATACGGCGATAATTATCATTATTATAAAAATCCTACAAAACGTGTTCGTAATAGTACATGTAATTAAATTTTTGCAGTTTGATTCTGACTTTAAAATTTAAAGGTGTGAACATATGTTATAATTGATGTACTCATTTCAAAAATATAAGCAACTCTTTTGAAACGTAAATTGTTAATATGTCTGTCAACGTATGGTGCTGCCGTCGTAATCGTAGCCTAATATGAACTGCAGGCAAAACATTTTTATTGGCTGCTCAAAAATCTAATTTGCATAATTTATTCACATAATTGCTGGTTCTTACTACTTATGTCTAATACTGTGCATTGTCCATTCTAATTGATCCTTATTTGCACCAAATGTTCCTGTCACACTGTGTACTGACGATTTTTATTGCTCCTTGTATGCCTCTGTGCCGACAGACCTGTTGATCATGCACAATGTTCCCCTGATTGGTTAATCATCCTTGTCAAATATTCTAATGACGAAATAGACATCTAGTTTTTTACGCTTCATCGGTGAACTGAATGACCTTAGGGGAAATTAAGTTCCACACCGTCGAATTATGCTGTAAATGACAGCATGTCATAAAATACAACACATTTTTTTCAGTTACCAATAATCATTTTAAATATTAAGTAGATTTATGATTTTTTGTTTTATTGGATTAAATTTACGGTAGTAGAAATGCGTATCTGTGTGGGAAAGGAATTGGGTAAGTAGATAACTAGGGAACTGGATAAACCCGGGAATATGCGTAATTACAGGGGAATGGGCAATCTTTTGCTGTTGGTACCAGTTTTGACTGGGTGCTTAAATAACCTAACGGGCAGTTTTGTTTTCATACGATATTAGTCTGGCTGCCGATTTTCCTGCGCCATTCTCACCATACTCATTTTTAGCGTCAATGGCGTAAAATCGCGTCCTCACATGACCGGCGATGTACCCTATTCGGACAGCTTGTCTAGCGAAAATTAAGTACAAAATAAAAGGATATATCGTGAATTTGAAGAAGTTTCTCATAGTACCCAAATAAAATTAATGGTTTATCTTTGAAAATTAAGCAGTCATTGCTTAAATCATGTGGTGGGATCATCATCAAGCTTGAACATCAGGCAAATGATAATTAATGTCGCGGCGTCTTCAATTGATTAATTAAAGCAATTCAGTTCCATATGATGTTTTCACAAATAATATATAATGTACGCAATAAGATTAATAAGTTCTTCATCAAGATATATTTCAGCTGTGCCAGCGTGTACACCTAACCGGAAGTGGGTGTAACACGTCACAATCTCGGTCTCGTCTGTCTCGCGAGAATGACAGAACGCCAAAATGGCGGCGCCCATGAACTTATTTCTCAAGTAAAAAATAGTGTCTTAAAACACGAATTTCTCACTTATAGGGTTGATGTCAACAGAAAAACTGTCATGGTACCTCTTTTTAAATGATGAATATTTATATTAGACAGACATCAATCCATCCATTCCTATTCCTTTAAATAAATTGATAATGTGTGTTCTTAATATCAGTACTAAACAATAAGCAATAATACTTGTAATTTTATAAACAAAGAGGCATACGATGGTTTAAATTTATTTGTCGGCCACATGTTAGTAGGATCTAGTGCATGCATCCAACAATTATGAATTGCAGGTGAATTTTTGACATAAATTCAGTTTATATATTATGTTAGAGAACGAATTAATATAACAAATTGATAACTAAATGCTTGTCATTGTAAGCTTGACTTCTAATAAGCAATTTTGATTATATTTTGTACAAAAAATGACGTTTTCTTTGAAATGTCTTTACTAACTCTTCCTCCTATGTACACAGACACTTGGGGTTTGGAGCTCAAAACGCCTTTAAAATCCAAATAAAATGCATATTTGTCAATCCCAGCCCATGTACAGATCATATATATCAAAAACCTTAATATAAGCCGTTTTGAAAAAAAAAATCATATTTCAACATCTATAATAATACACAAGATAAAAATGTTCGCCGGAAAAAAATCCGCACCCCTACCGTCATAATCACCATGTATCTTATTCCATTTCCAATATTTTTACATAATCCTTTGGTCCATCGACACAGACGATATAATTCTTCACGATGATGGTCAATTTTAAACTTCAACGGTAATATAAACAACGCAACAGCCGAAATAAACATCAAGATTATCGCCGTTTTCGTCCATTGACAAAATCTTTCGATAAATTCAAACGTGCCAGTCGGCTATGAACGAAGCCATCCGATTATGTGGTTCCGAAACTTAAAAGCGCTGCGCATTTTGCACACGACAAAGCTGGGGCCACATTACAGAAGTGCTGGACAGACATAGGATATCGTCGTTATTTTGAAAATTACATAGTTCTAAAACAATCCGAAGAATATTATGGATACTGAAGGATCAGATTTCACTGACCATAACCGTATAAATGGGTTTGTGTTTTGTTATCTAATAACACACGGCGTATTGTATGTTTATGACTGGTAGATATCATCACTTGCTTAAAGATGGAAAGAAAAAACTCAAGTAGGCCTACTGTACAGTACATGTAAATTTTAAAAGGTAAGGACAGTTTAGTTATTGTTACTCTTGGTTTATTTTTGTTACAGTTAGATGTAGTTGACAATTGAATATGACCACAGTATTTGTTCAGGGTAATAAAATAAATAACACATGGGTTTGTGATTGACAGTAAAAAAGACATCCAAAGGTGCCAAACTCGTTTTGTAAATATTTGCTTATACGGCCTTTTCTGTAAACTGTTTCATATTTGGAAGGAACAAACATTGGATGGTATGGTGTTGAGAGGAGTCACAAGTACATAGTCACACGGGCTGACATTATATCGTTCACACTTTTAATGCAGGCTTTGTATTATTTTAACAAGCTCTCATATTTACCAGGAACATCCCTAAAGGTGGTCCTCAAAGTTTTGATGGAGTTTCGGTTGACTAGTTTCAAGGTCAAGATCTTTGATTTACATATATTTGATATGGTTTTATTGCCAAATTGAATAGTTTTTAACTTCATCACAAGTCATATCAATGACTTTTCAACTTACATTTTTAACAATTGCAAAACGCAATGACTCTGGTAAGTTAAAACTGTGTTTACATTTTTTTTCTGTCCATAACTGAGTGAATGGGTAAACCTATTTCTCCCGTCGCTGCCTCCTTTTGTGAAGTTGTTGACTCTTTAACAATTTTTTTTGTAAATAAGTCATGAATATTATCCGAAGCATTTGAAAGGTGTTTAATGATCTGATGTCATTTGAATTACATATTTTCTTAAAAAGATCAAAATGGACCGACACTTTTGATTGTTGAAGCTTGCGTTAAAATATTGTTTTCTGCTCTATTAAATGATCCCATGACTCCTATTTATAACCGGGTCTCGTTATAACCTGCACAGAATAAATTGAGAAATCGACACCGTCGAGCATCATCTATTTCTGTTTTCGCTTTTGTACATCCTTTTTGAATGTTGTATAATGGGAGGTAACTATTTTTGTTTTATATCAATACACATGTACATAAATATATCTAGCTATCACAGAATTTAAACAAAACATATAAAAATACATAATACGTCCAATTGAGTGGGTTTTTTATTAATTTGTAGATCTACTTTTTAAATATCGTTTTCAAAAGTCAGCAGTGTATTTCTCACGCACACCGAATACCACTGCAAAAAATAGCCGCTTCCTTCGTACTTGCACTCAATAAAATTGTTTTAAAATGACATTTCGTCACCTAAAGGACAATTGAGCCTCGAGTGCTGACAAAACAAGGCTGACCCATTTGATCGCTAATTGCTCAATAATTTCTTTTTTATTGACCTTTGTTTTTGGTCACCTTTGTTTGTCTCAAGGTGACAAACTGATGCAGTGACCTCGTTACAATTTTGGAAAATACGCATTGGACGGCGAATATATGTACGTTGTAACCGATGTTTAGTTAAAACCGATCTCGTTTTAAGCGATATAAAATGAAAGGCAAATAGAAGGAAAAAGGCCAGGACAAAGTAGAATGTACGCTATAAGCGATACCTCGTTAAAACCGATCTCGTTATAAGTGGAGTAGACTGTACATATAACACTGAACTCTCATAATATTTTGTAATACCGAAATTGAAGTTTACATGTAACTGTATCTTTTAAATATTATCGGTGTTTTATTTTCCTGTTATTTTTTAAATTTAAGAATGTTTT